GGGATATGATTTGGGGATTGATTCAGGGAACCACAATTTGGGGCAAAATGATAACCTACCGCTTCAATCAATTGTGACTCAATATTGTTTTCCACAATGACATCCGCTTAGAGGTGTAAGCCGAGGGTCAAAGAGTGGCAGCCGTTTTAACGGTTACATCTTTTGCTCATAGCGGCGCCGCCTACTAGGTTTTATGCTTTCTACGTCGGCGGCGGCTTTACCCCAGAAAAAGAAATGTTTTCGCTCCTAAAAGTGGAAAAAATGACCCATCGCTTATGTATCGCTGTCAATGCCGGTGGTGCTTCATACTATTATCAAAAATTTTCGTTCGTGGTGGTGGCACACTGGTTGAACTAACTTTTTCATAGCGGTGGTGGCTACGAAATTCTTAAAATTATCGACGATTCCGTGACAGTGGCGGTTCAGCTCGGCGGCTTACACCTCTACATCGGCTGCTTTGAAAATATTCTGGAAATTGTATGCATGCTCAATGAACCTTTGTGCTAAGTCTTCATCAACGGCAGCAATAAAATCGAGCGCACTATCTTCAACCTTGGAAAGACGAAAATTAACATACCTGTTGCTCACGTGCGACTTGAGTTGGGCCCATGTAAGCTTTGTGGAATTGAGTTTACAATGCTTTACTGGAAGTCGCAAGATTTCGACATCGGGGTGTGGGTGTGGCAATGAGTGAGGAAGAGACCAACATCCACACCCATTCCCACACCCAAAAATGGTCATGTCTACCAAAAAAATAATCATTTGTACCATAGAATAGGTCATTTGTGCCATAAGAATGGTGATTTGTACCACAGAAATGGTCATTTGTGCCAAGACCTTGTTACAGACAGACACAGGTGAATTACGGTTTCTAAACCCTAGCCTTTCAGTCTTAGAAATACACGCTTTCCATGGAAAGGTTAAACAACAAACCCTTGACCGTAGAATAAAAACCCTTTTCATAAAAGAGTAGAACAATAAACCCTTAGCCGTAGAATAATAAACCCTTTTCATGAAAGAGTAGAACAATAAACCCTTAGCCGTAGAATAATAAACCCTTTCCATGAAAGGGTAGAACAATAAACCCTTATCCGTAGAATAATAAACCC